CATTAGGATAGTATTTTTGGATCCTCATTGTAAACAGATCCCACAAAACGTTTTCGCATATCAGAGTTAGGTCCGCCTCCTAAGTTTTATACTGATACAAACTGACAACTGGAGATACGTGTTAGCCAGAGTTATTTAGAATTAAATATAAGCTATGCTATTATCTTATTCACGTTCTCTTGTTGCCTTCGAAATGAAGGAGGAATGGGAGATCACCCGTTTAGACGAGGTGACAATTAATTCAATGTGATAACTACCTTTATATCACTATAGGCAAAACCGAGGTTTATGGCGCGAAAAGTCCAGCTTGTCTTTCTCTCACCAATATTTTAGTCAAGTTGAATTTTATTTTGGGCTAAAAGATTCCATTCAGTGTATTTCCTGCAAATGAAATAACCTAAATTAAAAACAGGATGTAAGTTTTCAAAGTCTGGAATGAACAAACTCTGGTCCAAAAAAAGTCTATTGGATATTTTATCTCCTTACAGGATAAATGAAAGGTCACCCGATGAGACCTTACCAATGGACTATCTCAAGCGTGAGTACAGAGGGAGAATTTCCAAGGGACCACTCGACTATAAACTACAGCTGCAACTCCATGAACCCAAGGACGGTGATGTGCCATGGGTACTTCATGTTGGGAGGGAATGGGACGAGGAAACGCACCCGTGGTTAGATTTGGCTGACATCAAAGTGACGTCATTACTGTCTCCAACCGCAACGGAACGCCTGAAGTTTATATATCTTAACCTTCCAGCGTCAATTGGTCTTTTGCCAGCCGTATCTGTTGATGATCCTAATGTTGTTCTTCACATTCGTAACGAAGTGTACGTCTGGTCTCAGAAGCTACGGAAAAACAGATCAAATAAGCTTGTCCCAGAGCACCTCGCGTCCTATCTTATCCGTGTGGAAACTGGATCTCAGTCTGGAGCAGGGACGGACGCCTCCATTTCTATTTCGTTGACAGGTGAAGTTACATTTAATATACATGACTTTTTTTTTTCTTTTTTCGCTTTACACACCAGCAATTTATTTTCTTTTATTTTTTCTTTTCCTCTGCAGGTACTAAAGGAAAGACAGATCGTATGAAGTTGGATAACTGGGGCAATGACTTTGAGAGAGGAGACGTTGATGAGTACATGGTAGAAGCGATGGATGTTGGCAAAGTTCTAATGGTGCATCTTCATAACGACCAAGGTGGCTGGTGGTACAAAAATGCTGATTGGTTTGTCAACAAAATTGCGGTGATAAGTTCCACTCAGGATGAACCATTTGAGTTTCCATGTTATCGCTGGGTGCTATCGGATTTGGTAGTATTTGAAGGGAGAGGTAATCTGAAACAAGAGAATAGAAACTGTCTACATCCTCTTATCCGAAAGCATTGTCCCATCTTTGACCATAAAATTCAAAACTAAAGAAAAGACAAAATGTATTTCTTTTTTCTCGAGCTATAAGCATGCAGAATAAAACGATAAATTCTCTACAGTTTTTAGCATGTTCATTTTGGCCTCAAATAACATCGGAAGTGAGAGAGGATGCAAACAACATTTTTCTTCACTTTTAACTACTATGATTGTAAGCCCATGAGGTAACAGCTGCAACAGGTCTCTTTGAACCTTTATTTGCAGCTATTCTTCCATTTAAAGAGCAGCCAGATGCCCTCAAAAGTCAGAGAACTCTTGAAGTGAGAAATCGCCAGGAGCTTTACAGGTGGGGAAATAAGGAAGAGTACAAGTATCTTCCTGGGTATCTTCAAGCTGAGACACACGCCGATATCCCAAGAGATTCACAGTTTTCCGACGAGGCCAGGGGTACCTTAAAGGATAACCAGCGCAAAGCGGCCGTCGACCTCGGTCTTACCTATCTGACTTCTCTTTTCGATAGCTGGGATAATTTTGATGACTTTGAGAAGATCCTTCACAGAGCATGTGATGGTAGCGTACCAAAGATCGTCGAGAATGACCGATGGAAGACCGACAAGGCATTCGGGTCAATGTTCTTAAACGGCGTTAATCCCAACGTTATCCGACGTTGTGAGAAGTTACCGAGTAATTTTCCAGTCACTGAAGAAATGGTGAAGACACTTTTGGATCGTGGAAACACACTGCAAGAAGAGATGGAGGTATTTCTCTTAAATTGTCCGGAAAAATCTTAATGATAAGTAAGTATTTCACCTGTACGATATGGAAACAATCTTTTTTCTGGATGGAAAGTTATCGTATTCCGTTGCACTTCACTGAAGAAGCTTTTTTAAAATGTATTATCTCAAAATAAAATCTGAATCCTCGAAAGTCATCAAACCAGTGACAGGGAAAATGTAAACTGAATCAAATATTATAAGATGGAACAGAGATTTATTTTTTCCACCCTCCTAACAATCATTATTTCACACATTGTTTGCTTGTTTTTCTAAGGCAGGTCATGTGTACATTGTTGATTACAAGGTGCTTGAAGGAATTCCTGAAAAAAAGGGAAATCACTCGGCCCAACCTTTAGGGCTGCTTTATGTCGATAAATCAGGTGACTTGGTGCCCATCGCCATTCAGTTACTACAGCAACCAGGCGACACCAATCCAATATGGACTCCAAGTGATTCACAATATGATTGGCTGTTGGCAAAGATGTGGCTTCGTTACGCTGACAATACGATTCAGCAGGTATTTCGAAGATCTCAGTACCTCATTACTGAATTATTCTTGTTCATCAATCATTTCTGACCTGTAAGAATAGCTGATTTTTTTTCATTGGGAAAAATCTGACTTTCCTCCAAAGAGGGATGACTTCGATATGGCTTTTGATGACGATTTTTGGTCTGGTGAAGAAAATAAATAAATAAATAAACACTGAAAAGGGTAGGTTCTGAAATAAGATCCTAGGAAATTCGAAGAGTCAATTAAATATTTAGACTAAATATTTCAGGTTTGTCGTTTGCTCCATCAAAGCCAGACATTATTTCGATGATTGATGAAAAAAAAAGATGCGTCGTCTCAATAGCAGTATAGGTTACCTGAATAAATTGTAATTAAACCTTAACAAGAAATGAACTTCAAGGGGTTAAGTCATTTGATTAGATTAGCGAACCTCTATCTTGTCAAATTGACGGAATGACAGAAACCATGAATACTACTAAATACTTGTCTGATCATCTGCTAGGTTTAGAGGTGACCTTTTTCTCCCACTTTACAGAGACTAACTCATCTTCTCGAAACCCACTTGGTAATGGAAGCCTTTGCAGTGGCAGTCTGGCGCCAGTTACCCTCAATTCATCCTGTATTTCAACTCTTATTCCCACACCTTCGCTCCGTGATGGCGATCAACAAGCTTATCAAAGATTCTGCTTTAGCAGAGAATGAACCTTCCAAACAATTGTTGAAGAAAAGTTACCACACGTTCAAGATGAGCATGCTTTCCCCACCCAAGGCGCTTAAAGAGAGAGGTGTGGATGATCCAGATAAACTGCCCAAGTTTTATTACAGGTGAGTATCCCACTGACCTATGACTGAACTGACTAAGTTTACGAGAGCATTAACTGACATGTAGTCAGGACTCATGGGTTAAACATATTTTGTTAGGTATGAAGCTCCGTAAAGGAGTTAGGTTATCAAGATTTGAGACATTTCATGCGACCTAAGGGAGAAAAAAGAACTGAGACTCGGTGAAATTTAATAAATTTGGTATCTAATTAAATGCATTATTTTTTAGATTTTGAGATATTTGATAGGTTAATCCCAACTTTGTAGTGGAATCAGCTGAGATCCTCTTCGTTTAGTTAAACGCACTGATAGCAGGTTGTGCCGTCAAATATCGTGTCGACAAAGGAACCGCTGGAGAGTTGTAAATTTGTTGTAAAAGTGTTAGAATCTCTTTTCTAGGGGAGTGTACTTCAGACTGGTTGATACACAACTTTTAGTCATTACTTTCGTGATGTTTTTGGCTTTGACATTCACATTAGAGAAAAGAGTTATTTGTAGGTGGTGATTGCTTGACTTAGATTTGTTGGAGATTTGCATAAATGTGACGAGCCATTTGTTTCCCAATAAAAAGTATTAAATTTTCTTTTTCTAGGGATGATGCGCTCCTTTTATGGTCAGCCCTCACAACTTTCGTCAAAGACATCATCACCCTTTACTACAAGTCAGATGATGATGTTACTAAGGACGTGGAGCTTCAAGCATGGATTAAAGATTTACATGACAACGGCCTCCCTGTGAGAGAGGGTGACGAGGACCATGAGGTTCCAAGTGCCTTGCAAACACGTGACCAACTTATCGACCTACTCACAAGCGTGGTCTTCACGTGCTCGTGTCAGCATGCAGCGGTAAACTTTGGTCTTTTGGATGTGTCAGGCTTTATTCCCTTCACTCCCTCCGTGATGCGTAAGCCACCTCCTACTAAGAAAAACCAGACGTCTCTAAAGACCATTCTTGACTCACTGCCAAGCAAGAGTGAGTCCCTTAAACAAGTAGCGTTACTTTACGTGTTGACGCGATATGGCGAGGATGAGGTAAGCTTTATACAAGAATTGCCTCATTAATTTTAGCCTGTATCTTAGTCTATTAGACTATTTAGTACGACTACCGCTAAAAAATGTAGATAATTCAGTCAAGACTCCAGTTTAAAAACCTAGCTGTCGTAAGTGAAATGGCTTCTCTCTTACTTGGGTTTTGCAAAGGTCCTCGAATGTGATAAGGTTCCCTTCCTGTCTTTCCTGCGTCTTTTTCAGTGTGCATTAAAACTTTCCATTGCAGAACAACTAACAGAATCAACAGTGTGTGTTCCCGAAATAACTAGCCGTTTTCAATAGAATTAGCATTTGAAAAGATACAGAGAACTCTTTTCTGTTTCGGAACCAATGATTGTTCCCCCTTGCAAGAGGTTCCATTGTGTCGAATTCACAAAGGTAAAAACATCAACGTGTTGAAGTGCAAATTTGCTTCAAGTTTACTAAGGAAAACATCTTTTCCTACCATAGCGTTTTATTGGCGACATTACACACAGCCTTTTGACTGGTGACGAGGAAGATGCTGCAATGAGTCGGTTCCAGACCGTTTTACAAGAGATCTCGGATTCCATCAAGGCCCGCAATGAGTCTTTGGAATTGCCTTACACCTTTCTGTTGCCCGAACGAATTCCCGATAGTATTGGCGTCTAAGGCGCTGACAGTATTTGAGGATTTTTTTTCAAAAATATCACACAGCGATTTTTGTGTGTTGTTCTGCACGTGCGTCGTGCTGCAGAATGTTTGCCTTTTTCGTAATGCACACCTTAAAGCCATAACTTAGCTCTCGTTAAATTTGGAGAGGGTTTGTAGCAGTAAAAGAATATCTTTGGTATGGCAGAGACAATCAGCTTATTATTCGTTCAATTTTCTAGTGTAGTTCTGTGCGTGATCTCAGAATAGAGGTGTTTTGTAACACTAAAACAGTCACATTTTGTAAGGTTCCTCTTTTGAGAGGAGCGTTAGAAGCAGTAGTTGTCTTCTATTACAATCGTCATATCCTAGTCATCCATCATTCAAATTTTTCAGTATTTGAGGATTTTTTTTCAAAAATATCACACAGCGATTTTTGTGTGCCGTTCTGCACGTGTGTCGTGCAGGTGTCGTGCTGCAGAATGTTTGCCTTTTTCAAATTTTTAATCAAATTTTTCAGGTAACTTGTCCTTAACCATTTAACTTTCATGAGTGACCAAGACAGAATTTCTCCTTGCAATGTCAATTCAATATCAAGTGATGAGAATAAAGAAAAGTGTTTTATTCTGGTTTGAGCTCTATTTCCCAAGGCAGAGGTCGTTATTTCAAGGTATAGTGCAGTGGTAATTTATGAAAGGGACTTATGGCTGTGGCATTTGTGAAGACCTAAATCAGTCTGTGACTTTCCAAATGTAATCCGCCGTAATCTGCCTTACGTAGGACTGCCAGCTATGTTACAGCTATTTTCAATGGATTACTCAGAGATGAATTATTGGGAAATCCTCGCGTCTGTATGCTTCGGGGTAATCTTTCGGTCTAATATTTGTGTATTTTAATACACAAATATTAGATCGAAATATAAAATTGAAAACTTTGTATCTGTTGTTTGTTTTTATCATTAAGTTTCCCCTCTAGGTAAAGTAAGTTTGATTGCTCGGCCTCTTAAACTCTATTTAGAAAATCCACGACCTATCCACGAGTCTTAATACAACCAAGTTCCGACTCTATCTGGAGGGTGGTTGTTAATCATAGACGACGCTCGCTGTTTATTTGGGTCATCTAAAGGAAGTCGAAAGCAGAAGCACGGCGTTTAATTATTTTTACAAAAATGAGACCTATGAAATGAAAGGTGAATGCGTGGGTAGGAAATGGAGTGACAAAGTGGTGAATTCTCATAATGCTTGCACTTTAGTTTGACATTCTCCTTCGTTTTGGATGCATTTGCCTTTACATAAACTTGATAACTAACCTTTTCAAGAACAAAAATTGCTTCTGTGTGAAAATTTACAATGTTGTTTTAATCATTTGATGACACATTTTACTTGGGGAAATCAACAGGATCATTGACATTTGCAAAATTTGTTTTTACATTCTATTTGAACTGTATATTATTTCCTTGTTCTGGCACGCTGTTCAGCTTTTGCATTTCTTTTCCTTTCCTGCGGTGATCATATTTCAGATTTCTGGGGTCGAAAATGATCCATTTTCATTTCCTTTCTGTAAGGGCAAAAATAACAATGCAAGGTTGGGGAAAAAATGAATTAGATAAAATGCATAGAAAAGTAATTGACTGATCATGAGGAGTTAGATTTCGAGCAAAGTATCCGAGTGCAATATACATCATTCGAGAAGGCTAAGGAAAGGGAAAACCTCTCTTCCTATCTTGCCATCCATGGAATTCTCAGGCGTTTGAAGATAACCCCGTGCGATATCTCCTCTAAATCAGCAACTTTGGCAATGAAAGCTTCAACTTTATTGCTGTGCACTAATTAGTTTGGTTCCCGCATTGCGCCGAATTTAAACTCGGAAGTCTCTGACTTTCTACCTCTCTCCCTAGGTTTCTTCACCTTCCCAGGTTCCCACTGATTATGAGAACGATTGTGCTGGATTTAAAGTGAGTTATTCAAGTTAAACGCTGGTGTTCTTGCTGTTTTTACTGTGAAGTACTGCCTATTCCAGTCTAAAAAAATAAATGCGACTAGCAAGTCTATGATTTGTTGAAAACCCATCCTTTTTCGTACGGGAAACACAACAAACTGAAGCATTTTTGGTAAACTTGAAATGACACATGATAACGGTTTACTGTTGTTCAAAGAAACTTCATCTTTCAGTGAGCCGCGAGTAAATGAACATTTCCTATTTTTGCTGCGTAATTCCTTTGTTGGGTAACTTCAATTTCTGCCAGCTTAGTTTGTAAAGCCGTTTCATGTTCCTTCGCAACTCGAATAATGTCTTGCACAGTTTTCGTAACATTCTCTTCAGCGGCGCAGATTTCTTTTCGCTTTTGGTCATCAGTTCAGTTTGCTTCGATATCTTTGACTCCACGATAACAAGTTTTTCCTTAACTCTGGCAAAGACTTGCGTCATTTGCATCTTTTGTTCTTCGGCAGCCTCCTGTAAGTCTACTAAAGTATTTCGATTATGACTCACTATACTGCACCTGTGGCAAATACAAACGCTACAGTCTTGACAATAATAATCAAGCAGTTCATTCTCATGATATTTCTTTGCACACATGGCGGGTCTGTGCATCAACTCCTCCACATCTTGTGCTTGCAAATTATCGATCAAAGAATTATGATACCTCTTGTGGCCTTCAGGCGTTGATGAGCATCAAAACAATCCTTGCAAAGAAAGGTCTGGCAAACAAAGCAGTAGCAAGTTACCGTGTTGTTTTCTTCACAATTACTGCATCTCTGAGCCTCTTCGCCGTCATTTCTCAGAGCGAGGAGATCTACCAATCGGTTGAGATGAAAAGATGTGGGAAGGTTGCCAAACGTGTCTCCTTCAGGGATCTGAAAGCAAGCCTGACAAAGTGGACATTTGATCGTCGCCTCTAACTTTCTTTTGCATATCCTGCGTGTTTGTCGATACACCACAGACAGAAAGAGTGTAGACATGGCAGTGTCTTGGGATCTTTGACAGTTTCTAGACACAGTGGACACTCGGCTTCCTTCTTGAGACTTGTAAAGAGCTGTTGAACATCCATGTCTAGCTAAATAAGTTGAAAGCTGGGTGCGGTTGACACATCACATCGCTAATCATGCATAAAACAAGACCTGGGGTAGGGATCAATCGCCTAATGAGTCCTCACCTTCTCCACCCTATTCAGATATACAAGTGTAGCCTTTGAAGTGTTAAATGTGTTACTTATTTTGTTTCTAGGGGCAGAGTGATAAGTGCAGAGCAAGATATCAACTGACCAATGATATGTAATCCCATTTCACGATCACAGGTCTCGACATGTTGCCTTTTTCTACGCAAGAGTCAAATTGAACCATTGAGCTACACCATTCAACACATGATGGTCAGTTGGTGGTCTAATGAACCATTCATTTTTTTCCTTTAGCCCCTTATGACGGGTTCATCAGTTCCCGAACCGAAATATTAGGAAAACATACATTTTAAAGTTGATCTCAAGTTTATATTTCATTTTTTGTCTTCACCTCTTCTCCCCACCGTGAGGGGAGAAAATGAATAGATAAATAGATGAATGAAAAAAGAAAGCTCAACAGCTTCCACTTATAGTCATATGGTACATGAACTGATTACTGAGGTGGAGTAAAGCCATAGAGGGCTGGAAATGCAACACCCCAGGTTCAAAATTGAATAAATCAGGATATTCATTCTTAAAAATGAACTCAAATGCTTCATTAGAATCATTTGACACTGAATAACATTGATGTGCAAAATTTCAATAACGCTACTTATAATAATAATAACAGAAATCATTCAAACTGTTCTAAAATGGTGCATCACTTCTAAAGACTTTAACACGAACGATAACATCAACAATAGCATGCTAGTTCATCATCAATTGTAGTAAATTTCTTTTCCAAAAAGTCTTAGTGGTTACGTACCAATCGATTCCATCCTATTGAGCTTCCAGCCAAGCACTTGCCCACTTTGGGCTGGAAATGATTTTCTTCAACTCGATCAATAAACCGCTTTAAGGACCATACTTCGACTGCTGATATTTCTTATGTCTAGCAAGTAAAAAGACGCTGATTGATATCAGCGGGCCCATAATGTCACATGTATACTGGTCAGCGGTTTTTTTTGAGCAACAGCTGTCACTAACATATCAATGTGGATGTCCGCCATAACAACAATGCACTGTAGGAGTTAAACGATTGCATTAGAGGCTTATTACATTTAGGACCAAATGTTATTACATTTAGGACTTTATTACATTTAGGACAGTTATTACATTTAGGACTTCAACAGGGGATTACATACGAAGGAACATAACAAAATAAATTTTCTCTTTTTTTCAGAAAAAAAAACATGTTAGAGATGATATCCAAATATGATGCCATAAATTACGAGTTTGTTCATCTTGTTTATGAATCAATTTTTTTTATAGTTTGCTCACCAAATTTTAAGATCCGGACGTGTTGCGGACCTACTTTGCCCCGATTACGGGGCAAACTTGAGCTTCAGACTCGAGGACGTTTTGGCGGAAAAAGAGACAAAAAAGCTTTTACAGGGCTTTATTGCATTTTAGCGTCAAATGTTCTGTTTCGAACCTTGCTCGGGTTATTATGTTGTGATCTTGGCGGTGCCACTCCATAACCCACTGTATACATCAGGGAACTGTCGTGCAAACTGAACGGATGCAAAATGAGGGAGAAGGGGAATAAATATTTTCATCTTATAAATCGGAGGAGTAACAATACACCTCGTAACGTAATGCTAAGCTCCGATAGCTAAGTGAGTCAGTCTTGGAAAACTTTCTTGGGGTGGGAATAGTATGCAAAATGGGAAGAGTTGGTTACGATAACTGCCATACAAAGACTAAACACCCACTCGATTGACGTTTGCTGGTCTTTCAATCTGTACAGAAAGAGAATCTAACGTGTAAAGTCTTATTAACAGAGATTAAATGAACTTGGCAAAAATTCTCTCCTGCTCGTATTAGTTTGACAACAGGAAGAAATCCGATGCATGACTAACACGCCGGCATAGGTCTGAAGAACGAACTTGAAAAGGTAATAAAATACCAAATCAGAAACACTTTGTGCTTGAATTGTCTGAGAATGTCTCCAGTATTCGATTCAATTTCCTCGGTTAGAATTTGTGTTCGCCTTGACGTCAGAGAAGTGTGCAAAACTAACTTGAAAACTTGAGCATTAAATTTCGTTAGTTGCTACAATTTGTTAGGTTTACACCGAAGGTGACACAGAAAACTTGACAACAGATCAATTGATCGCTTAAGAAAGAGGAAAAAAAACAGCCTGAGAAAAATTGTTCCCACCTTTTCAAAATGTCACAGAAACAACGACCCAATCACGACCAGAATATACAAACCCAAAAGAAGTTGAGTGTTATTTCTGTGTAGAAAGCTATCAACATTTGTGATCCTATCAGTACGTAGGATGCTTATCACAACAAACGCCTATATGCTCAGATGGTAGATCATTCAAACGTGAAGTAGGATTCTAGAAGTTGGATCCATGCGAAGATATTCCAACACTTACTGTTGGACAAACCACGGTCGGAACACGGAAAGACGGAAAGGTCACCTCAAGTAGTAGGTGTAAACACGATATAACTTCGGTGTAAGGGATACTTATGATGGCACTGTAAACTTTTCTAAAAATCGGTCTCTTTACCGTGAATCCTGTTTTTCAAGTTTTTCAGTTTTCAAAATTTTTAACATTCGCAATTTCCCTACTTTGCTTAACTCATACCACGAAAATACGTCGGGAAAAAGTAAAGATTTGATCGTTATGATTGTTACTAAATGTGAGAAATTTTATATTGCTCTGAGGAGGTGATACAGCCGTTCACAACAGGGCATGGATAACCCTGATAAGCTCATTATAATTTTTTTTAGTTTTTAATACCATTGTTATCATTATCATTAAGTATTATTTTTATATTTATCATTATTGTTATTATTATTTCATCACTACTTTTTTCTTCATTTATCGTTCTAAGCTGAAGATGAATTCGTTACTTCACTTACTTTGTCTGGGGCATCCTCGTGAACGCAATGACCGCAGCGTGGTAATACTTGCATCTGAAATTTACCTTTAAACGAATATTTCAGAGTTTCCATCCTTAGAAAAAAAATTGTCATTCAAACAAGAAAATATTATATCACATAAACTAGGTCTCAACTAATCTGAGACATCATACCTTGCATTTGACCAATCGTCAGATCTTTTTCAAGACGATCCACACCTGTGTCGAAAATTCGATTTTTATATTTTTAAGTGTCAAAACTACTTGCGTAGATCAAAGATATATTTTCTGATGCGCGTTAGGGAAATGGTTAAAAAAATTAAATTGTCCGCGACTATATTCGTCAAAGGCACGGAGCTTTGTACTCATCCTAAATGCAGAACTTTTTGATATGGACGAAAATCAATCTTCAGGTTATCGAATTCGAATTTTTGCCAAACTGTGTTAAGATGTAGATGAAATGTTACATTTTTCAAAAAGTTGAGTTTGCTCAAAATTTTTAGCCACATATATCATCTAACATTCAACCAGAACAACAAAAACAATGATAGCTTCATCATCATCTTCAACACCAAAGTAAAATAAACAAACAAACAAACAAACAAACAGGCACACGAAATTGAAATCCAGAAAATTATATTTAAATACCTGCCAAGATGAGAAGCTTTGGAACAGGACCACAATAAGAACAAATTGGACATGCCTTTAAACCAGCCCTCAAAATAAAAAAAAAAAGATGTAAAATAAAAACGAATAAAACTGATAGACAAAAGGGGAATGTAGACACCTGTTTTACCCACTAAAGGGGTGGGGGAAGGGGGCATACTTAGTTCCTCAGTTCACCCACAAGGGTGGAGACTCTTGATGTCTGTTAAAGACTTCATTCCTTTAGAGGTGTAGAACAAGGGGAAACGATGTATAATCCTAACTTTTAAAATCCACGATTCCAGGGCTATAGTAGCGTGTAGCCTTACGAAAGTATATGTGACATTTCCATCAGTGTTCATGAGGCGAGAAGTGCACGTCCAAGTAATCTTATACTCACCTTCCCAAAACTGATCAGTCTTGGACAAGTCAATCCTCCAAGTGAATCTCTCATCAGCCCTCTAAACGACAAATACCCAAACAATGAAAAAAGATTTGAAGTTAGTGCCTTGCGTGGAACTCTGAATGCATGATGGGCGCTGATCTTTTTGACTCACGCCACAGACTTCGCCGAAAAGCAGGGACTGCTGTCGTCTATCGTTTCAGTAAAACGTCTTATTAACAACAGCGTAAAGCAGTACTCCTTGCAGCTCCGTTGGTTCTGCCCAATGCGATACTTTTTATAGTTTTCTCCAGTCAGACACTTTTTTAGTAACAATTCTGTAACTCGATTTATGACTCTTTTTACAGTATTTGAATCATTTTTCTGTATGATAAATTGGTGAATGTGATCTAAATAAGGTGACACGAGAGAAAAACATTAAGAGCTTACACATTGTAAGCGTGGATATTTACAAAAGAATACTTTTTGGGGGAATGGGGGTCGGGATATTTAATTGCAAATAGGCCTGTGGATGATTATAAGAGCTAGCACACTGAAATAGGAGGTTTTTAACAACATACGTATCACCCTTAAATCTAATAGAAAGAGGTATAAAAGAAGAAAGGAGGGGTACAAGGAAAGGGGGAGGGGTAAGATGGAAGGGGGAAGAGATTAAAGGGAACTGGGGAAGGGTAAGAGGGAAGTGGGAAGGGATTAAATTAACATGGTAAAGTTGGTGATTAAGAGTAGGTTTCTTTCATTGAATGTGGCTAGCTTCTTTGATTTTAAGTTGAAAAGTTGTGGAAGTGTGATCTAGGGTGTTAAAACATTCATCAGGACAAAGAATGCGACATTGCGGAGAATTGTGTAGATGTCTGAAAATGTGAGAGGTCCTGTCCTAAGCAACTATTTTGTATTTTCCTCAATTTACAAATTGTGGGAAATTTTGGCACTGATAAATTAAAATGTGAGGCGAACATTTCGTCCGTCCTAAAGTGGGTCAACCTTAGATTCTGAAGAGGTCAACTCAATCGAGAAACGTGATTCCATTCCACCCATATGTATCGAAATTCGTAACGAAAACACTTCTCAGCTTGATAACTTATTTCAAATCTATGCGTCGCAGAGCAGATGCCTTGGATTCGTAGCCGTTCTTCGTAGTGGAGTAACTGGAACCTCCGAGGTAAGTAAAGCTATCATTTTTGATGCTCAACACTAAGACCCTTACTTCATTCCATGAAAATTGTGCACACTTTTTGCCATAAGTCGGAGCCTGGGAATGAAGAGCATTGAGAAACTGGAACGGTAAATGCGCCTACGTATGCGAATAATTTTTTCATTTCTTGACGCTGTTCCTTTTCTTATAACGCTTCGCACTTGTATTGTCGTGCTGTCGCCGAACGAATTTCACCTTGCCTAACTCCTTGCTTGTGTTATGGAATATATCAAGCCTTTTTCTGATGGCACAAGCAAGCTAAACAACGGGCGAATTGTTCCGTCTAATTTATCTGCAGTCAGCTCATTAAGACACTCAAAATATCTGAATTAACTGAGTGCGACGTAAAAACAACCAAAAAAAAAAGAGTTCCTGTGTGATTTTGTAAGCACTTTCTATAGCATTCTATTGTCAAGGGAGTTAAATCTCAAGGCTCAGAGCCAATATAACGTTTGAGCACGCTAAAGACTCCCTGAAAAAAGCTAAATTTTCGGAAATTGATTGTGATGAAATCCCTGTTCTGCTTGCTGTACTGCCGGGATACTGAGTAGTTCAAAATCTCCATTTTGTGATGATTGTCGCGCGAGTCGTATAAATTGCTATCGTGGCGACTGGGTTTTACATGTAGTACTGCCGCTGACAAGTTGCGATTTATGCTCTCAGATTCTCAGTGTTTACGAGCGTTCAATCGAAGTTTTCGATTGAACGCATTGAATAGTTTCGTGTAGATCAGCCGACTTCAAAATGTTTCCAGTGACATGCAGGTATAACAGTGTATCTTCAGAGGATTTCGGATTGCTCAAATTCCTATGAAAGAAGGTGCAGCACTCGGAATCTGGATGATATGCACACGATTTGAGGTATATGTTTGTAGTTACGTCGAGTTGTCCTTCATGAAAGTTAATCAATTTTTTTAAAAGATGACAACCAGAGGCGAGATTTCTCCTCGGGATATTGCTCTTAAGATAACATTCTTTCAAAGCCTCGCACGTTTCATTTGTCTGAAACGTTTTTTGTTGAGAACATTAGATGTAAACATCGCCAAATTATGCAAAATTATTTTATTATTTTGAGTTTTTTTCGCGAATTGCCCCTAAAAAAAGGAGAGGCAGGCCCGCAGAGATTTTTACATATTTAAAGACCAGAATATTATAACCAGCTAGGTGGGTAGTTTCAGTTCCAGAATCGGTGTACTTTTGGAGAAATTCAGATAAACGTTTTCCCTGTTTTACCCGACAACAAAAATGACTGAAACTGTACCGAGATGAATAATCCATTGATGTGTTTCCATTCACTCCCAGGGAAAATTAAATGTGTCAAAGTGAAGAAGAATGATGTTATAATGTATGGTAGAAATGCCAATTTATAATGTTATATTTAGCTTGAGATAGAGAAATAAACATTTCACTCTTTTTTTTGCGACGTTTTGTATGAAAATGAGGCCCCAGGCCTCGAACAAGCAACCGTTGTTACCATGGCAACAAGGATGCTGCAACCTTTAAAAAAGGGCATTTTTGTGTATCCCCCTAAGTGCCTAACTGCATGCAAAATTTGAAGGGGGGGTTGAAAATTTTCATTTTCCAAGATGTTTGATTCTTACAGAGACTTGTTCTTAAATAAAACATTTACAGTGTCGTAGTTTTCATTCTATGTTTGTTTTCCTCCATGCCGAACCATCCTTTCGGTTCCTTCTTGGGTTCATTTCAATCTGTCTGTGATGGAATCAAATGTGTTGAACTATCCGACTGTGTTGTTCTTTTTGTTTCCGTTAAGAAAGCGTAGGTAGTCGAATGTGATGGTCAAATCAATCTGATTAACTCAATTGAGACCCTCTTGTAGCGAAAAATTTTCTTTTGCTCAGGGTTAACGATGGTTGACGCATTCAAAGTTTTCTGTCCAATTACTCAATTGTTATGCATTTAAGAAAATCATTATTTGCAGTCTTTGGAGAATTTTGTTGAAGAGCAATTAAATCGTGACAGAATCTGTTCCGTTACACTCTAAGCAAATAAGCAATATTCAATACAATTATTCCATGCATTAATGTTTTACACTTGTCTCTCTTGATTTGTTCCCCTTCTTTTTTTTCTTTTGATGTTTTCATTATTATGTTCAATATTGTTATTATAATAGTAATTGTTACGATTTGTGACAGAATTGTTTAATCTATTTCTGTCACCGTCATGTATCTTTTTAGACACAGGATTTTGGTTTTCGACAGGATCAACTACATCCATTTTAACCTTCTCATTGAAATTGATGACACCGTTGGTAACCGTGTATATCTTATCCCAAACACTTGCTGAGTCATTGTGATACCCTAAAACACCATAAACAACAACAAATACTTGTAAATCTTGTGAATAAGTGATGCCAGATTTATTTTTCAAAACCATATCAATGAAGAGATAATTGGGAGTCACGCTATTGTATTTATGAAAAGGAATTCTACTTCGGTTGTGATCACTTAACGTATTGGTTCATGTTCTTGGAACTGTCTCAATACTACTGGTAGTAGATACTTGGACGGTTTAAATGTCAGTTGATGACAGTTTAAGTTGATAACAAACAGAATATATGGTCTAAGGGAAAACAGATGGCTGAGATATTTGGTTATGTAGACACAGATCAAGCCATAAGAAACGTGTACATGATGAGGACAAAAAAGATGCCGTCAAAACGACGGGTCCTTATGAAGGCACTGAAAATAAAGGACAAACTTGGCATACAATATACATCGATGAAGAGGGCTTCACTCTTTATTGTTGGCATCTAAATTAGAACCAGCTAAGAATTCCAAATATTGGGTAACAAGTTAAGTACTTCCATCAAGTAGAAAATATGGACCGAGTACAAGTTGTTTGATAATCTAAATAATAATATGATTAAAATTGAAACAGAGACTGGTCTCCACTACAAGGTAGTTGATTTTATAAGAAAGCTTTATCCTAATACCAGGATCATTGCTCAATGTGGTGAAAAACAAAATACTACTTTTAAAAGAATAGATTCCTAAAAAAAAGGTTACATAGCTGGACAACCAAATATTATTATCACTGACAATCACCTGAAATATAAAGGCTTTTGTATAGAGTTAAATCTCCCAATAATAGTTACAAGATTCCCAACAATTAAAAAGACACAATTAAAAATTATCGTAAGAAGGTTACAAATTAAATGCATGATATCCAATGATTACAATGACACCATAATTATGTGAAAAAATGATTTTATGAAATATGTTAGAATAAAACGTGATCGTTGTGATAACCAATTTAAAATATATCAAACATTGACGAACCATTTAGAGTATTTCCATAGAATACATAAAGAGTATAATGCTATCTAACTATGTAGTAATATGATGCAGGGTAAGAGAAAAGGTGGTGGACAAATTAGTCCAATATAATTATAAAATATATAATTGAAAGGAATCATTAACTTCATACCTTCGAGGCCGTTTTCTTAGAACACAAAGCACTTTGATTGCATTCTGCTGAATTCAAAATGGCGACTGTTTTTTATATAGTGTCGTGCAGCCCTCAAAAAATGGGAAGATACGTCAATCCTCCACTACGCCTCGGTTTTGCGCGACGGTCCAATCCATTTATCATTGGAGGAGGCCATGTTTACACGGGACTAGTCTTCTAGTTGTAAGATTTACGGAGGGAGGGACCCTCAGGGCGACTGTGGAAAAGTGAGCGTGGGCTCAGAACAGTAATATTTGCCTCTCCTCGATTGCAAGATTGCAAACTGAGCTTTGGTTCGTGTTCAGAACCTCACCATTTGACACAGTCATTGGAATTACCTGAAGTGAGTACCTTTCTCATTTTTGTGACCTTATCCAAATTTCTGTAGTTAGACATTTCGCTTTTGAAGAGTTTTTCGTATATTTGCCATAGCAGAAGAAGCGGCAACCATTAATACGCCTTCGTTTACGTACCTATCTTCTAGGCTAAAAATTGCTCAAACGTCGCCGTCGTTGCGCGAAATTTACCCACTTGATGCTCTTCGCGTGTAGCGCGACAAGACTTTCCTTTTGTCGAACTTCGTTTTGAGAAACGTTTTGACTCGACGCTCGCAGAACTAACAGTATGTGCAAACTGATTTTCTTCTAGCAAGAAAATATGAAGGACTTTAGTATAGTCAGAGATTTATGCCGTTAGAAAATTGTAACGAAATATTCTCGGTCAGAGGATAGAATTAACTAGTTCCGATGTTTTTCTGTCCTGTGTGCAAATATCATAAGTCCTTTCTTTGTAAATTGGTCTTATTCACGTTTATAGTTCGCCCTTGATTTGCATCGAATGAAAGCTTTAAATCCTAAAGGTTTTAGGTGAACTGAAAAGGGCAGTTGTCATTTGAATAAAGTTTAAAAAAAATATGAGTTCGAGCTAGGGACGCTTATAAACTAATTGCATGATATGTGACCGTGAAAGGCAAGACGGACACTAACGGAAAACCGTTTGAACGGCAAAAACGAACGGATGACGAACGGTTAACGAACGGTCCTTGAAGCGTTCGAACGGTTTGCCTAACCGTTCGAACGGGTGAATAATTATTTGAACGGTTTGTTCAGCCGTTCGAACGGATGAGTAAGAATTTCGAACGGACGGGCAAACCGTCCCAACGGGTGAATAAATTATTTGAGCGGTTTGCTTAGCCGTTCGAACGGATGAGTAAAACGGATAATGTCGAACGAAAATATTATTAATCCGTACGATTGGTTGTGCGATTGGTTTACCAATCGTATGGTTGAATAAATTGCTTAAACGGTTTTCGAAACCTGAAACCATTCCGAGCGCGTGGCTTGATCATGGAACAGGAAATGTTGCTATGTTTTGTTTTCATTTCATCTGTCGATGTTGTCAATTTCAAGGCCTTTATTCTCTATTTTGCGACTTAAAAATAACATTTTTGCAACTGTTTGCCTATTTAGTGCATAAAGTTTATAGTCATTGTTTGAAACTACTCATGAAAGGTGGTTGTCATCGTGGTTTAATATGACAGCTGAGTTAATCATTTGTCTCACGATTCAGTCACATAGATGTGGATTGCGACGTTTTGACCGCTATACTGAGTATCTGTAGAGAAACTACGAGTGCAATTTTCTCCTTTCCAACGGATGAACAGAACGGAAGTCAAACGGTTCGAACGACACTTCTAGTTGGCGAACGGATGCAAAAACTGTTGAAAATTTGAAAATTGGTCTTATTCACGTTTATAGTTCGCCCTTGATTTGCATCGAATGAAAGCTTTAAATCCTAAAGGTTTTAGGTGAACTGAAAAGGGCAGTTGTCATTCGAATAAAGTTTAAAAAAATATGAGTTCGAGCTATGATATTGCATGATATTGGTGAACCTATAAGACAAACTGTTGCAGGATTTACAACATTTTGATTGAACAAATTTAGATTCAAATAGGTGCTGATTGTATTCCTCTGTTGGCTTTCATTTCGAATTTATCCTCGTCAATTTATTTGGAGTTTTGTCTTCCCCTTTGTATTCTTTGAAAAAATAAACGTTTTCTCACAATTGATCGACGTAAAATTACCTTGGGCGAAAGACCTTTATGACATTGGTACAAAACAGCGCCCCACTTAAAATACAGGAAATACGTTTGGAACTACTATTTGTAGTTCAACAAGACTTTTCCAGACCTGAATGAGACATTTTAAATAGACACATAAATGCGAAATTGTCGAAGTGGAATGAAAATGCTTTTAAAATTTGTCCTACATTGCCCTACATTGCGTGTTACTTATTAACAACGGCGGCTATTGTTTTTGACATACTCGTCTGGCTAATTAAGCTTCTAGACTTTTGTATTAATTCCCGACAGGAAGTCAAAGGGATTATTCAACGATATTCATCAAGCAATTGTTTCAGCAGAATTGTTGAGACGAATGTCAGCGCAAAAAAAAGGCGTAGATTCTATTTATAAATTAACTTATTTCAACATTTAATTCCTAATAAGATACATGAAAAAAATACTCTGTTCTGATTGGTTAAGATAAATGCAGTTCTCAGAGAATTCAATGCAGAGGAGGGTTAATTCAGTGCAAAGAAGTAACAAACCAGACTGAATAACTCCTTGAACTGTTTGGCCGGACTTTGAACTTTTTTGCGCCTTAAAGTTGTGAAAACATCCCTGTATGTTTAACAATTGGTTAATACGTCAGCTGTGCGTTCATCGAGATAAGAAGCACTTGGGAAGTTTGGTGTAAGAGTTGCTCGAGGCGTAGCCTCGAGCAAATCTAGCTTCTTGATTGCTTTCCAAACTTCCCAAGTGCTTCATATCTCGATGAACGCACAGCTGACGTATGAACCAATTTTTTTATATCATTTTCAACCCGATGGAAAATTTTTTTTCTCGAGGGATTTGTTTGGTGACGTCATGAGCGTGCACAATAGGTATATGAAGCACGCTCGCGCAATTGAATTTGATTACACAAATTTACTAGCTATGTTATAATTAACAAATAGATTCCAAGTTGCCGTGCGTCTGTTCAGTAATAGATCACAGATGACGTCAAAATGTGGTAAGAACAAAAAAGTGGCACTCGAGGCGCAGCCAAGTGTGTCACTAATGTTCTTACCACATTTTGACGTCCTCTATGATCTATTACTGAACAGACGCACGGCAACTTGGAATCTATTAATTTTATATAATAAAGAATTTAAAAAAAAATTTAATAATGACGTCATCTATACGTTTGTTCTCCAATAGATCATAAGTGAGAACCAATCAGAATGCGTGCACAACTGAGCTTATTATAAAATATTGTTTTGATCGCACGCGGCTGTTTTGACCGAACGCACAATGTCACTTGAAGGGTTTGAATAAATTATTTTTGCACTTGATGCGTCGCTTTGCTTCTCCATAATTATGATAAGCTATCTCGTATCTTTTTCGTGTATATTATTAATACGTAATCTGTAGGATTACCCTGTAGGAAAACATTTACTCGTGCTTATTTATTCCAAACTGCACTCGAAATCGTGTAATTACCAATACAATTTGTCACGCATCAAAGAGAAGAAAAGAAGCGATTGTGCTTACGTACTTACCCACCTCACCCTAGCGTTAACTCAGTTTCCTCTTCTTATGTTATCTTGTTTCCTTTCCAGGGTCCATATCAAAGTCAGCATGGCTTGTAAGTTTCTTTTATCGAAGCTCTATTAATAAATTCTTGAATGTTTTTTCCTCTAATAACGTAGAAATGTGTAATACATTTACGTATGGGTTTTGGCGTTGCATTTTCAGGGCGTAATCTCGGATATGAAGTATACAAAAAAGAGATGGGAGAGGGAATGTTCAAAAAGAAGATAGAGGAATTCGAAAAGGTACACTTACATTTTACTTTTCGTCAGACATGCATAACTCGCTTGTAAATAGCCTGGTTTCCATAACATAAAACTAACGGAAGGACTGTGGACTGTGCTTTTCCGACGGAAATTGTTCCATCGCATAAAAATCCTTATGTTTCTATTGACGCCGCAAAATTTTCTGTTTTAGTTACTGATTTCGAGAAACCTGCTCGATTAACTTTAAGTAGTATTCAATTGCGTCCTTTTCCTATGCCACACCTTTTTTGCTTGTCCCTCCCCTCCGCATGTCCAGTAGAATAACTGCACAAGCACATTTGTATGTCAGACTTAAACCAATTATAGCGAGCTGAATTCCTTTTGTTGTGCTGTTTCTTTGGATAGCCTCTTGCTCCAGCTGGTTTTTTCTCCCAAAGCAAAATCGCATACGATACCACCAAACTCAAGTTACTCTTCGGCTTGAAGGTGTTAGTCAAGGGACAGCGGGGCACACATCCCATTGGAGTTGGAGCCGAGGGAATCGCAACTATTGTCTCTAATCCAAAGATTCCACCGTGCGAGTTTTTCACACCGGGACGTTCTTACCCAGTCTGCCTCCGTCATTCGACCATACAGTCCGTGGATGACGTATTGATTGACTTCTGTGGCGGGTCCATAAGATTTGCCAGAAGTGATGATATGGAAAGTCCTTGCGATATTGTTATGGGGACTGGAGAGACAACACCGTTGTGGAGCGCTCAGGCCATTTTTGATGCAGTGAAAGCCAAGATTTCAAAAGATTTGAAAACTTATTTGCTGATAGGACCTGACCAGTAAGTGAATTGTTGGGCCATTTAAACACTGATTGTGAGGCGGAGGGCTAGTGTTTTCACCTCATTCATTTATTTACTTGCTTTACTATCTGCTATTAGATTCGTTTAGGGGACAAAGAACCCTAGTTTTCTTTGCCTCTTATATTTGGCTTTTTTGCCGAGTTAATAGAAACTCTCAACTGGTATACGAGAGGCACCAGTGGATCCGCGTTGAAGTCTGAATAAGTTTTGTTCGTTCGATTTCCAGCTTAATATTTACCGAAAGATTATAAATAAATATCTTGCAATAATGTTATTACTTGCATTTAAGTTTAGAGTAGTTTTCACTGACTTTTGTAAAACCAAAATAATCACAATGAGGACTCAAAGTTAAAACAGGTAAACTACCAGTAGCGAGGAAAAACGCAACTAATCTATGATTGCTTTCGTTTGTCGTCTGATTTGTAAATCAGAGATTACTTTCTTCTCTCAATTGAAAATTGCTCTCTACGTGAGGATCATTTCGTCACATTCAAAGAAACGATAAAATAACGGAGCTCTTATACGATGAACTTAACTTGTTTAGCTCTACAATCACACAGAAGTATGAAACCAGATCAAATCACACGTGATATGTTGTTTCGCGAAGTGTTAAAAACTTGTAGAAAGGGTTTTAAAAAAAGTCTTAAAAACTTTTTTACCTTATTCTAGAATTATGAGAATGTATTTACTATCTTGGATTTACTTTGTCTTAAACAGCCTAAAAGCCAACATTGGGGGCTTGCGCCAGAAGCCTGAATCATTTTACGACCAGCGTTACTACTCAGAGGTGATTTTCGAATTCAAAGCGTTCGATGGTGTTAAGCGTTACGTCAGATTCCGTATGATGCCCGCTGATGGGCGGCCAGAAACAGGCTTATTGTCTGAGGAAGTCCAGCAGCATCCATGGTGAGGAATAGAAACATCTGAAAATCCTAGCCTCCTTATCTTTGAACCCAATTTTGATAGAATATCTCAAACTGCAACCTTCATTTGTATCTTCCTGAGCTTCCATTAGTATCCCTTGCCTGGTTAAACCGTAGGAAGAGAAATGCATTCGTTTGATTCGTTCAGTTCTTCCCCAGCTTCAAAGTATTGCTCATTGCTTTTGGTGGGTGTGGATGGAGACAAGAAAGCATTAGGATAGTATTTTTGGATCCTCATTGTAAACAGATCCCACAAAACGTTTTCGCATATCAGAGTTAGGTCCGCCTCCTAAGTTTTAAACTGATACAAACTGACAACTGGAGATACGTGTTAGCCAGAGTTGTTGAGAATTCAATATAAGCTATGCTATTATCTTATTCACGTTCTCTTGTTGCCTTCGAAATGAAAGAGGAATGGGAGATCACCCGTTTAGACGAGGTGACAATTAATTCAATGTGATTACTACCTTTATATCTATAGGCAAAACCGAGGTTTATGGCGCGAAAAGTTCAGCTTGTCTTTCTCTCACCAATATTTGAGTGAAGTTGAATTTTATTTCGGGCTAAAAGATTCCATTCAGTGTATTTCCTGCAAATGAAATAACCTAAATTAAAAACAGGATGTAAGTTTTCAAAGTCCGGAATGAACAAACTCTGGTCCAAAAAAAGTCTAATGGATATTTTATCTCCTTACAGGATAAATGAAAGGTCACCCGATGAGACATTACCAATGGACTATCTCAAGCGTGAGTACAGAGAGAGAATTTCCAAGGGACCACTCGACTATAAGCTACAGCTGCAACTCCATGAACCTAAGGACGGTGATGTGCCATGGATACTTCATGTCGGGAGGGAATGGGACGAGGAAACGCACCCATGGTTAGATTTGGCTGACATCAAAGTCACGTCATTACTCTCTCCAACCGCAACGGAACGCCTGAAGTTTATATATCTAAACCTTCCAGCGTCAATTGGTCTTTTGCCAGCCGTATCTGTTGATGATCCTAATGTTGTTCTTCACATTCGTAATGAAGTGTACGTCTGGTCTCAGAAGCTACGGAAAAACAGATCAAATAAGCTTGTCCCAGAGCACCTCGCGTCCTATCTTATCCGTGTGGAAACTGGATCTCAGTCTGGAGCAGGGACGGACGCCTCCATTTCTATTTCGTTGACAGGTGAAGTTACATTTAATATACATGACTTTTTTTTCTTTTTTTGCTTTACACACCAGCAATTTATTTTCTTTTATTTTTCTTTTCCTCTGCAGGTACTAAAGGAAAGACAGATCGTATGAAGTTGGATAACTGGGGCAATGACTTTGAGAGAGGAGACGTTGACGAGTATATGGTAGAAGCGATGGATGTTGGCAAAGTTCTAATGGTGCATCTTCATAACGACCAAGGTGGCTGGTGGTACAAAAATGCTGATTGGTTCGTCAACAAAATTGCGGTGATAAGTTCCACTCAGGATGAACCATTTGAGTTTCCATGTTATCGCTGGGTGCTATCGGATTTGGTAGTATTTGAAGGAAGAGGTAAACTGAAACAAGAGAATAGAAACTGTTTACATCCTCTTGTCCGAAAGCATTGTCCCATGTTTGACCATAAAATTCAAAACTAAAGAAAAGACAAAATGTATTTCTTTTTTCTCGAGCTATAAGCATGCAGAATAAAACGATAAATTCTCTACAGTTTTTAGCATGTTCATTTTGGCCTCAAATAACATCGGAAGCGAGAGAAGATGCCAAAAACATTTTTCATCACTTTTAACTACTATGATTGTAAGCCGATGAGGTAACAGCTGCAACAGGTCTCTTTGAACCTTTATTTGCAGCTATTCTTCCATTTAAAGAGCAGCCAGATGCCCTCAAAAGTCAGAGAACTCTTGAAGTGAGAAATCGTCAAGAGCTTTACAAGTGGGGAAATAAGGAAGAGTACAAGTATCTTCCTGGGTATCTTCAAGCTGAGACACACGCCGATATCCCAAGAGATTCACAGTTTTCCGACGAGGCCAGGGGTACCTTAAAGGATAACCAGCGCAAAGCGGCTGTCGACCTCGGTCTTACCTATCTGACTTCTCTTTTCGATAGCTGGGATAATTTTGATGATTTTGAGAAGATCCTTCACAGAGCGTGTGATGGTAGCGTACCAAAGATCGTCGAGAATGACCGATGGAAGACCGACAAGGTATTCGGCTCAATGTTCTTAAACGGCGTTAATCCCAACGTTATCCGACGTTGTGAGAAGTTACCGAGTAATTTCCCAGTCACTGAAGAAATGGTGAAGACACTTTTGGATCGAGGAAAGACACTGCAAGAAGAGATGGAGGTATTTCTCTTAAATTGTCCGAAAAATCTTAATGATAAGTAAGTATTTCACCTGTACGATATGGAAACAATTAAAATGTATTATCTCAAAATAAAATCTGAATCCTCGAAAGTCATCAAACCAGTGATAGGAAAATGTAAACTGAATTAAATATTATAAGATGGAACAGAGATTTATTTTTCCACCCGCCTAACAATCATTATCTCACACATTGTTCGCTTGTTTTTATAAGGCAGGTCACGTGTACATTGTTGATTACAAGGTGCTTGAAGGAATTCCTGAAAAGAAGGGAAATCACTCGGCCCAACCTTTAGGGCTGCTTTATGTCGATAAATCAGGTGACTTGGTGCCCATCGCCATTCAGTTACTACAGCAACCAGGCGACACCAATCCAATATGGACTCCAAGTGATTTACAATATGATTGGCTGTTGGCAAAGATGTGGCTTCGTTACGCTGACAATACGATTCAGCAGGTATTTCGGAGATCTCAGTATCTCATTACTGAATTAGTCGTGTTCACCAATCATTTCTGACCTGTAAGAATGGCTGATTTTTTTCATTAGGAAAAATCTGACTGCCCTCCAAAGAGGGATGACTTTGATGTGGCTTTTGATAACAGTTTTTGGTCTGATGAAGAAAATAAATAAATAGACACTAAAGAGTAGGTACTGAAATAAGATCCTACAAAAATCGAAGAGTCAGTTAAATATTTAGACTTAATATTTCAGGTTTGTCGTTTGCTCCATCAAAGCCAGACGTTATTTCGATGATTGATGAAAAAAAAAGATGCGTCGTCTGAATAGCAGTATAGGTTACCTGACTAAATTGTAATTAAACCTTAACAAGAAATGAACTTCAAGAGGTTAAGTCATTTGACTAGATTAGCGAACTTCCATCTTGTCAAATTGATGGGATGAAAGAAACCATTTTTACCACAAAATACTTGTCTGATCATCTCCCACTTTACAGAGACTCACTCATCTTCTCGAAACCCACTTGGTAATGGAAGCCTTTGCAGTGGCAGTCTGGCGCCAGTTACCCTCAATTCATCCTGTATTTCAACTCTTATTCCCACACCTTCGCTCCGTGATGGCGATCAACAAGCTTATCAAAGATTCTGCTCTAGCAGAGAATGAACCTGTCAAACAATTGCTAAAGAAAAGTTACCAGACGTTCAAGATGAGCATGCTTTCCCCACCCAAAGCGCTTAAAGAGAGAGGTTTGGATGATCCAGATAAATTGCCCAAGTTTTATTACAGGCGAGTATCCCACTGACCTATGAATGAACTGACTAAGTTTACGAGAGCAATAACTTACATGTAATCAGGACTCATGGGTTTACCATATTTTGTTAGGGAATGAAGCTCCGCAAAGGTGTTAGGTTATCAAGATTTCAGACATTTCATGCGACCTAAGGGAGAAAAAAGAACTGAGACTCGGTGAAATTTAATAAATTTGGTATCTAAATAAATGCATTATTTTTTAGATTTTGACGTATGTGGGACGCTGAGATATTTCATAAGTTAATCCCAACTTTAAAGTCGAATCAGCTGAGATCCTCTTCGTTAAGTTAAACGCACAGTTTCGACAAAGGAACCGCTGGAGAGTTGCAAATTTGTTGTAAAAGTGTTAGAATCTCTTTTCTAGGGGAGTGTACTTCAGACTGGTTGATACACAATTTTAGTCATTACTTTCGTGATGTTTTTTTGGCTGCGACATTCACTTTAGAGAAAAGAGTTATTTGTAGGTGATGATTGCTTGACTTAGATTTGTTGGAGATTTGCATAATGTGACAAGCCGTTGCTTCCCGATAAAAGATATTAAATTTTCTTTTTTCCAGGGATGATGCGCTCCTTTTATGGTCAGCCCTCACAATTTTCGTCAGAGACATCATCACCCTTTACTACAAGTCAGATGATGATGTTACTAAGGACGTGGAGCTTCAAGCATGGATTAAAGATTTACATGACAACGGCCTCCCTGTGAGAGAGGGTGACGAGGACCATGAGGTTCCAAGTGCCTTGCAAACACGTGACCAACTTATCGACCTACTCACAAGCGTGGTCTTCACGTGCTCGTGTCAGCATGCAGCGGTAAACTTTGGTCTTTTGGATGTGTCAGGCTTTATTCCCTTCACTCCCTCCGTGATGCGTAAGCCACCTCCTACTAAGAAAAACCAGACGTCTCTAAAGACCATTCTTGACACACTGCCAAGCAAGAGTGAGTCCCTTAAACAAGTAGCGTTACTTTACGTGTTGACGCGATATGCCGAGGATGAGGTAAGCTTTAAACAAGAATTGCCTCATGAATTTTAGCCCGTAATCTTAGTCTATTAGACTATTTAGTACGTACGACTACCGCTAAAAAATGTAGATAATTCGGTCAAGACTCCAGTTTAAAAACCTAGCTGTCGTAAGTGAAATGGCTTCTCTCTTACTTGGGTTCTGCAAAGGTCCTCGAATGTGATAAGGTTCCCTTCCTGTCTTTCCTGCGTCTTTTTCAATGTGCATTAAAACTTTCCATTGCAGAACAACTAACAGAATCAACAGTGTGTGTTCCCGAAATAACTAGCCGTTTTCAATAGAATTAGCGTTTGAAAAGATACAGAGAACTCTTTTCTGTTTCGGAACCAATGATTGTTTCCCCTTGCAAGAGGTTCCATTGTGTCAAATTCACAAAGGTGAAAACATCAACGTGTTGAAGTGCAAATTTGCTTCAAGTGTACTAAGAACAACGTCTTTTCCTACTATAGCGTTTTATTGGCGACATTACACACAGCCTTTTGACTGGTGACGAGGAAGATGCTGCAATGAGTCGCTTCCAGACCGTTTTACAAGAGATCTCGGATTCCATCAAGGCCCGCAATGAGTCGTTGGAATTGCCTTACACCTTTCTGTTGCCCGAACGAATTCCCGATAGTATTGGCGTCTAAAGCGCTGACAGTATTTGAGGATTTTTTTCTTAAAAATATCACACAGCGATTTTTGTGTGTCGTTCAGCACGTGTCGTGCTGCAGAATGTTTGACTTTTTCGTAATGCACACCTTAAAACCATAACTTAGCTCTCGTTAAATGTGGAGAGGGTTTGTAGCAGTGAAAGAATATCTTTGGTATGGCAGAGACAATCAGCTTATTATTCGTTCAATTTTGTAGTGTAGTTCTGTGCGTGATCTCAGAATAGAAGTTGTTTTGTAAAACTAAAACAGTCACATTTTGTAAGGTTCCTCTTTTGAGAGGAGCGTTAGAAGCAGTAGTTGTCTTCTATTACAATCGTCATGTCCTAGTCATCCATTATTCAAATTTTTCAGGTAACTTGTTTTTTACCATTTAACTTTCATCAGTGAACAAGACAGAATTTCTCCTTGTAATGTCAATACTGATGAGTAAAGTGATGAGAATAAAGAAAAATTTCAGTTAGGAGATTATAAGTTGATCAGAACCAAATTCTTCAAACTAACAACTAACACAAGAACTGTACAGGAGACAGTAAGGAGAATTACTAATGAGATCTTGGGAGTTAAAGGGTTAACCTCAAATTTCAAGTTTTATCCTGGTTTGAGCTCTTTTTCCCAAGACAGAGGTTTTTATTTTAAGTTATAATAAAGTTCGGATATAACGCGCACTGGCATTGGTTGAAAGAGCGTGCTCTATGAGAGTATAGAGCATAGAGCTGAGCTAAAGCTGTCACGCCATCTGCCAAACTGTACTATGTTCGAGCTTTTCCGGGACTTCTTTTTAGCTTTTTTCCGATAATTGAAAGTGAAATTTCGGAACTGAAGCGAGCCGACAAGTAGCAACAGATCAGTAGAAGAATCAAACAAAGGTTTGTGAACATACCAGGCGCCGTAATTTACAGGAAGCGGCTAGAGCACTCCCTACACTTCTTTCGTGCTCTAGCCGCTTCCTGCGTGCTTTATAACAGAACAGAGCACAGCCAAGGCTTCTCTATTTGTTAAGTATAGTGCAGTGGGAATTTATGAAAGGAAGTTATGGCGGTAGCATTTGTGAAGACCTAAATCAGCTCGTGACTTTCCAAATTTAATCCGCCGTAATCTGCCTTATGTAAGACTGTCAGCTATGTTACAGCTATTTTCAATGGATTACTCAGAGATGTGAATTATTGGAAAATTCTCGCGTCTGTTTGCTTCGGTGTAATCTTTCGATCTAATATTTGTGTATTTTAATACACATATATTAGATCGAAATATAAAGTTTAAAACTTTGTATCCGTTGTCTGTTGTTATCATTAAGTTTCCTTTCTAGGTAATGTAAGTTTGATTTCTCGGCCTCTTATACTCTATTCAGAAAATCCACGACTTATCCTCGAGTCTTAATATAACCTAGTCCTGACTCCATCTGGAGGGTGGTTGTTAATCATAGACGACGCTCGCTGTTTATTTGGGTCATCTAAAGGAAGTCGAAAACAGAAGCCCGGCGTTTAATTATTTTTACAAAAATGAGACCTATGAAATGAAAGGTAAATGCGTGGGTAGGAAATGGAGTGACAAAGTGTTGAATTCTCATAATGCTTGCACTTTAGTTTAACATTCTCCTTCGTTTTGGATGCATTTAGCTTTACATAAACTTGATAACAAACCTTTTCAAGAGAAAAAATTGCTTCTGTGTGAAAATGTACAATGTCGTTTTAATCATTTGATGACACATTTACTTAGGAAAATCAACAGGATCATTGACATTTGCGAAATTTGTTTTTATATTCTATTTGAATTGTATATTATTTCCTCGTTCCGGCTCGCTGTTCAGTTTTCGCATTTCTTTTCCTTTCCTGTGGTGATCGTATTTAAGATTGCTGGGGTCGAAAATGATCCATTTTCATTTCCTTTCTGTAAGGGAAAAAATAACAATGCAAGGTTAGGGAAAAAAAGAATGAGATCAAATGCATAGAAAAGTAATTGACTGAGGAATTAGATTTCAAGCAAAGTATCCAAGTGCAATATACAGTATTCGAGAAGGCTAAGGAAAGGGGAAAACCTCTCTTCCTATGTCGCCATGCATGGAATTCTCAGGCGTGTGAAGAGAATCCCGTGTGATATCCCCTGTAAATCAACAACTTTGGTAATGAAAGCTTCAACTTTATTGCTGCGCGCTAATTAGTTTGGTTCGGGCATTGCGCCGAATTTAAACTCGGAAGTCTCTGACTTTCTCCCTCCCTTCCTAGGTTTCTTCACCTTCCCAGGTTCTCTCTGATCATGAGAACGATTGTGCAGGATTTTAAGTGAGTTATACAAGTTAAACGCTAGTGTTCTTACTGTTCGTACTATGAAATACTGCCTATTCCAGTCTAACAAAATAAATGTTACTAGCAAGTCTATGATTTGTTAAAAACCCATCCTTTCCCGTACGGGAAACACAAAAAACTGAAGCATTTTTGGTAAACTTGAAATGACACATGATAACGCTTTACTGTTGTTCAAAGAAACTTGGGAAACATGTGATTCACTTGCTCTTAACTCTTAGCTTACAATTATTTTTCGCGTTCTCCCTATATCCCGAGTTTGTCTTCACGCTTTAAGTTTCGTAAATTAAGTATCATTGGTCCAAACACAAATTGTTCTGCAGTACGTGGCTGTCTATTATTCGACTCTATTTTCTATGGCCCTGGCTCAAGAGAGCAGCTGCTCTTTGAGGGAATAGAAAAATAATAAAAGAATGGGAATTCACACCCAAAATAATTACTGTCCTCACTTATTAAATTAAAAATTATTAACTTTAAAATGAATATCGTCAGTTTGGAACAGAATTTAGGATTAAAATTATTTATCCAAATATTACCCCACATTTATGTCAAGGAAGTAAAATCGTATCATTCAGAGTTTAAAAATCAATTTATCGTTATAACTGACAAAAAATTTAAGAGCTGAAACCTTGAACCACGCAATCTTGTACTTCGTTTGATTTTGTTCGTCTTTGAACTCATCTAAATGGACAGGAACGAGTCTTTACGGTGGATTTGAAGTGAATCACATTATTGTTTCCATAAAGTACCTTATCTCTTTTTCATGCGTTGTTCCAGTAGCACACAACTGAACTCTAAGACAAATTATGACTCTTCATCGTAAAAAAATAACGGAGGTTAACGAAATTTCTTTCAAATTTCTGCGAATGGCGTTTTGCACTTATGTAAGTCTCAATTTATTTTTATCATTTTCAAATACTGTATTGCGGCAAACGATTAGCTAGCTATACGGGCGATATTGATTGATAAATTTTGGACTCTTGAATAGGTAAGAGATTTGGCTTAAATACTTAATTTTAAGTGTGGTGAACATAACTTTATTAAATTAAATTTTATTCACAGCCACCTCAAATGTTTTCAATATCCTTCGTTTCCATTTCAGTTTTTTGTTTTTTGAGGTAAAATGCTTAAAATAAAATTAGAGTGTGTTGAAATTAAAGGAAACTGCGTAATTCTCTGCTATCGTCTTGGAAATCGGACAGACGCCTTAGAAAAACCATGATTTACGTAGGTAATTCATGAAATTCTTTTCGAATATCACCAAAGAGGGTAAGAAAAGTAAATTTCTAACAATTTATATAACTTAGAGCCTGTCATGTGCTTCTTTAACGGCAAACCAACTTTTTCATTCGGGCAAATTACGCCAGAAGCGCGCGCCCTACACCTAATCGATATAATTATTCGAAAAGCGCTTACTGTTTGAGACAAAATGGAAAGAAGGGCAAAGTTCAATTGTATAATTTCATTTTTAATCATTTAAGTGCTTTTAAAATGAATTTTGATGCAATTTCACTCCCACAACGCTTCCATAGCCAAGAGAGTTGACTCTGTTGAATCAGCACTGACTCTAGGTTTGTTCACCTTATTTATGTATTCCATGTAGTCCATTAGCGTAAGTTACAAAAAATGAAAATGAAATAAAACGATGTTAACTACAATTCTTGAAAATAGTGACCAAAGTGAGTCTAAAATCCAAATAAAAAAGGTTTGCTTTGGGCGAAAGTGATTGTTCCAAACTTGCTTTGAAATTTAAATCGTTACTAGAATGGTTTCAGAAATACGGAGAATCGAGGCATAACAGGTACATACATGTTGCAGAAGAGCGAAAAACAAGGCAGTGACTGTCGCACAGATCGATTTTGTTTTTTCTATTTGAGTTACTTACCATGTTAGTAATTGTAGAATCTACTGAAGGATCTTGTGTCGTGAATCGGGCCCTCTGGATAGCGGTCTGGTTTTCTGCTTTTAAAAGGTAATCCATTCACTATAGCTGGTCTTTTAGTACTCGGCTTTTTCACGTTTGTTACTCTCGCTTTGCTGGGTTTTCTTGGCTTGACGGCTTTGTATTGACTTTTTAACACTGATATTACCTGCTGGCTGTCCTCGACTACGAAGCAAGCTATAAAAAAGCTGATAAGAAGTATCGTGGTAGTTGTCTTCGTATTCATGTTTCCCTTCTGATTCGAGGCGCTACTGTGTTCCGTAAATTTCGACTAAGATTTTTCTGTTTTAAACTGCTGACAATATGACAAAACGCGACTTTATAACGCCTTTGAAAACTTCCTCCTACTCTCGCCTTTCTTCGTAAGTAAAATAAACCGGAAAGAATCGAGGACAAAAGATCGGTTCAGGTCTCTTGTCGTCAACCACTTTTTCTAGAAAAAATAAAAAAAATTGCAGGCCAGTATAAAAGGAGACAAAGGAAATTATAGATTTCTTGATAAGCTTATAGTAGTTCTCTACGTAATCTACGCCTATTGTCAAAGATTCATCATTGTTAGACTATGCCCTTAAGGAAAAACAAGCCTTGGTTTCCGCGGCGACACGTCGGCGAGCGAATATTATTTGTTATGGAATATCGTAAATTATCCTAAGGAAGAAATGACTAATGAGATTAAAGATAACACAGAGAAACCTTCGTAAACAGATGTTAAGGTTTCCAAAGATCCACTCATTAACCACAATGCGAGATATAAACTGGGTAAAGAAGGAAATAGGTTGAAATTAAGTGTTTTGCGGACCTGCCTTTGACGTATTGCCTCTCTAATTGTAAGCACGTGTTGTTTTTCCTGCGTCTCCATCGATAAGTAGTTATGGATGTTTTTTATTGTGTCTAGAGCTTTCGTCAACGTTACCATCCGGTTTTAAGAAAAGAAGAAATTTTTAAGCATTATTTCATTTACTACACTTGAAAAAATGTCATTTTTTCGTAGGTAAGTGAGTTTTAAAGTTGCATGATAATCCGTTAACACTTGCAATTATTCTATTAGAAATGAATCTAAAATCCATTTGACCCTTCATAATTTAAATCAATTATGCGAGGAGATTTATAAGGTTCAAATTAACGATGACACATAAAATGAAAGATTTGCAAATGCATTGAAACAAGAATGGAGATGGATTCGTTTCCTGAAAAACATACATTTATCCACAGTGTAAAATATGTGCATTTTAAAATTAGATTTTTCCGATAAATTTTTTTTATTATTTCTTTCAACAGCAATCCTTCATACATACAATAAGAAAGACTAGATCTATCTTCAAAATAGCTGTTGACCTACAGTATCTTAAATTGTCCAAAAATATCGTCAAAAAGACCGGAGAATCTCATCTATTTCATTACGAAAATAACAAATATCTTGGCTGTTTTTACGTTTCCCTTTTCGAGCATTTATCTTGGAAGCAGTTTTTGTTTTTGTTTTTTCAATTTTATGCGAGACGCTAAGTAGACGGAACCTCCCATTTCTATATTTTCTCATTATTTGAAATTTTTGAAAGGAGCCGACATCAATTGTGTATTTTTAAAAAAGATTATCTGCTTTATATG